CAGACTAGCTTGGTAAGTCATCTTAGATGAACTTGCCATCCAACCCACTGTCACTCACTAGAAACACCCACTGTCCATAAAGGGAGAAATGAGGAAAGGTCCTCTGGACGGGCCACCTGTTCCAGAGCAGAGGGAAAATCGAAAGCAAAAAGATGCCAAGCTTGGTGCTGAGTCCACGTGTCATCGAGGCCAGCCCTGCTGAGGCCGTCCGAGGGGTTAGAATGGCTGTCGATCCATTCAAACCACACTCGGATGCGGAAAGTTTGGAGGAGGTAATGCGCCAGCTGTACAAGGGTGTGTACATCCGCCTGAGAGCTTCCTCCCTTGATCAGCGAGGCAACTGCGGCCTCGTTGTCAACAAACCAAAGGACGTCGTACCCCGCGAGTGGAGCACCATGGAACCAAGGGACGAGCAGGCCGCAAAGGGTTTCCCCAGGGTATATCTGCTGTGTTCGTGGTTGCCATGTATCAATGACTCGTTGGGGGACCGTGCAAGTCACGCCTGACGGAGTCATATGCTTCCAAATGATCACCCAGCCAAGCCGGAGTGTATCATTCTCAAAAGATGCGTCGGAGTAAATAACTAATGGAGCTGCAGGCTTGGACCTAATGGAGATAACCCGCGGTTCTGGACAGGCTACAATAGCCGCGAGCAACCGCAAGGTGAGGCAATCCTCCATAGATAAATCCGCAGACACTGCCTTCTGTTTGGCGGCCAACAAGGGTCCACCAATGCGACCCGTGTAACCAGCACACATGGAGAACATCCAGTTAAGGTCACCCCGGAGCTTGCCGGCATCATCAGGGGATAACGTGGAGGTCTCCAGTGCAGAGCGCAGTTTCTTTAAAATTTTGGTGGACGTGGAAAACTTTGGTTGGAACCGGATCAAACCCTCAGTGACAAAGTCGCCAACATGGACAGAAGTACCTAAATAGTGTCTATTGTGGCCTGGGGCAAAGGATTTCGCAGGCTGGGGCGGTGCTCCCAGTAACTGGAAAGTCAATTGCAGGCCCACCTGAGACACATCGTGGTCACGGACAAAGTCAACAGCCAGTTCATCATCGAAGTATGCCGCCGCAAAACCAAGGAGGCACCGCCTCACAATGGCCACACCAAGCTGTGGGAACCGGTTGAAGTTGACCACGGCACTTTCCAACCCATACGCGAGTCCGTACATGGTGGTGAAGCGCCACCCTTGGTCCGGCACATAGATGGCCACATTGGAGTAGCGAAGATGTTCATCACAAACTGGCAACCCTCTGTAGGCATCTGGCAGATCATCCGTACCCAGACGGAGGTCCAACCAACAAGGAGGGGGCAGACGATCTAAGGCAAACGCGGAGTCAACCATACGAGCGAGAGCAGCCACAAAGTCAACATTGACTGTGGAGATAGTCTCAGGCATGGTAGTATGGTGGTTGTGGCCACTTTTACGTGCGTTATCTATAGCTCTTTGTTTGCCATCTGGCTGGGTGATCAGGAACCGTTCAACTGCTCGCCAGCCACCTTCACCAAAGACATCATCCATCTCCTTCATACTTCGCAGGGGGCTACAAAAACCCTTGGCAATTTCATCCAAAGTGAGGTGGTAAATAGTCTCGCTGTGCAAAGGTGGGCGGCTATGAATCAACCGTTGGACATCCGCAGCTGCCGGGGCACCTAACCACTCAGACAGGTCTGCTTTGCCCTCCTGGCGCACTGGGCGGAACACCCCTGAGTGGGGCATGGAGCCCACAATAGGGAAACCCTGAACCAGTTTCTGAGCCAGCGAGAGGTCGGGCCATCTGATCAAGATAGCCAAGACAGCCGTCAAGGCAGGTTTCTTCCCGCGGGCAACTTGTGATGCTGCCTGGCACCTGAAGGGCGCTAAGGCCTCTTCGAGGGGCGTCAACGCGGTGGCAAGCGTGCGCAAGACATGTCGGAGCCTAGTGGTATACCTTGGCAGGAATTGCTGCCATACAAACAATGCCTCAACAACAAAGCCAATGTCTGGTTCAGGCCAATCGCGAGGGTGGAAAGGGGTCGGCAGCTCAGCAGAGGCTGCCATATGAGCCTCCTTGCCCAACCCAGGAACCAACAGGTGATCGAGGCCCCGCGCGGACGAACTCGCGTAGCGTTGGCCGGATAACCCTGCATAAATGTCGGTCCGCTGGCGACCCCAAATCGGAACCGGACCCAACTCCTGCCAAGGTTCTTGGCGCATGTGCCGCCATGCTGGATAGGCCTGCAGGAGTGACAAGTCACACGAACTCAGTCGTGGGCGAATCAACGACCAGACCGGGGACTCCGCCTCCAAATACGGGAACACTACCCCCAACCGCGAAACCACCTCCTCAGCCTGAAGCATCCCCGGCATGACTTGTAGGCGACCCGGTGCCCAGACCGAAAGCGACAGCCTAGAGTGAAGAGCCAACTCATCATGATCCGATATGGGACAGGGGAGCTTGGTGGTGAGCACACTGGGTAACATGGTCATGAGGGCAATGATACACGGGATATGGAAGCCATTGCCAATGAGGGAATTCTTGACCTGAGTGCGTCGTGCCTGCGACCCCCGCACTGGTTCAACCAGGTCCGGAGGGATCCCCATGAGTTGGCACCGTTCCGATGGGTGCAAGGTCCTCCAAGTAGACCCCGACCAGAGCAATGAAGATTCCTCATATGCTGCTGGGGGAAACCGTCGGTGGTCTTGGTGGAACCGATCCACGGCTGCTGGTGTGGCGTCACGCACACGATCGGCAGGGTGCCAAAATTCCCTGGTGAAGGGATGCATCGCTCCTGCTCCATGGGCACGGAGAACTTGAGCCGGGTCTAAAAGGGGGAGGTAAGGTCCAATCCACCACACCTGAAAAGGCACCGGCTTTTTTCCCTCAAAACGGAGCGTCGGGACATCAGCCTCATTTGGGGCCCATATCCATGACTCGGGCGGAGGTGTTGCAGCCGTGATACCCTTCGTAGAAGAGCCGAGCCAGAAAAGGCGCCTGCGGCGCACCCATCCGCAGCTGGCTGCATCCATACAAATAGGTCGGCATCCTAACCATGTACTGTACTGGACACGAACAGCGGCAGGCATGCTGGCGACGTTCTCCAGGAAGGTCACGATCTCCAAACCTGCGGCTTCCGGCAAAGCGCGAAGCTCCTGGACGATACGTTGTAGTTCCAGCGGCTGCTGGGACCGCGGGTCATCAAGGCCTCTGCGGTGCCTATTCAGCGAGGAGTTGCCCTGACATGGGGAACCACCCCCCACTAGAATGCCGCGAGGTTGGCGTCTCTGAAGAAGTCCCCGAAACATATCAGCCTGCACTTGCTCCACCGTGTCCACGTGCACAATATTGGGCATGGCCTGGGCTGCGCATTGAACTGCCTCAGGGTCACTTTCAGCGCTAAGGGCATAGAAATGAACCCCCATGGCGAGGAGAGCTACACAGAGACCCCCCACGCCGGCCCACAGGTCAATGACCAGCCAAGTGCCACGAAAAGGCTTTGCCCACGGATACTGCGGGAGGTCGCTTCTCCCGCGCCAGCTCACAGGCTTGGCTGCCGTCAACCGGGCTGCGACATCCAGAGGACCAGGAAGGGGAGCATCATCACAAGACAAAACCACCCGTCGGCTGGCGCTCCAAGGCGGTTCCTCCATGCGAGGGGGCTGTAATGATTGTCGCTGCTCCACTTCCCCCCGGGTCTCAACGGCCCCCAGGGGGTGTTGTCCCTATTCGGAATGCTGCAGGCGGGTGTGGCTTGCCGAACACGGCTTGCCGGAAGTAAGCTTCACATCGCACTTGTGAATGTTGGGGCACTTGGCCTGCTGACATCCCCGGCCATCGTTCCAGGGCTTGCAGAACCGCTGACCGCCTTTGATCTGGCTCACCGTAGGCCATTTGTCGGATTTGATCTGGCGCC